TTATGCAAAACTAATACTCAGAATCAATATAAAGAATTTAAATTCCCAAAAGGAATATAACTATTAGGAAAGATTCCAGATCCTTCATCCATCTTGTGGCCACAAATTTTGATTTGCGGGCCAAGAACACCATTCTCGTTCAGGATATCAGGAAAACAACTTAGACAAAGCTGCTTTCTAGTATCACATTAACCGGCTTTTCTCTACTTTCATGTTTAAAGCCCAGTCATCTGGATATGATTTCTTATGCTTGAGTTACATTGGGATACACAACAGCATATTTCCAACTACTATTATGTCATTGCTCTGTTCAAAAGCTCTAGAAATACCTTGTTTTGACAGCTGCTGCGGGTCCTCAGGCTGACACAAATAATCCCAGCAAATCCAAAGAATATTCAAGTACCAGAAACTTTCCTAAGCGCGTTTGATTGTTTACAAAACAGCATCTCTAGAGTTGGAACCTCGGAGATCCCTGTAAAACTGTGAGCCTCCCAACAGAATCTCATTTAGGAATCTCCTCCGAATAGGTGAGGAAGGTGATTCAACTCTTCTTACAAGCCCGTAATTATTTTCCATACCAGCTTTCATAATCACAAGACAGCTGTTGCAAAAGTTTCCACAGGCAAAGAACACGCTATGCAGAACGAAATCATCTTTAATTACCGGAACACCGTGGATGTGTCAGAAGACATGATTCGTCAACACAACTGAGCCATCTTTGAAATTCTTGCAAAGCCACTGTCAGGCCTACAGTTATATTCCTTTTAGGATCTTTGGCCTGCCACACACTCTCTCTCTCTGTCTTTACTATGCTGTTTCATTAGGGGGGAGGAATTGGGAGGGGTAATAGTAAGGAGTAGAACTGTAGAATGTGTTGTTATCAAAATAAAACATTCCTTTCTAGAAGCCCAAAGTCATTCCTTTGTCTCTGCATCTCTACACCTGACCGGAACTAGATGGGTGGAAATGCCAGCGTGGCAGAGGAAGATTGGACCATGTGATGGACTTCTGGGTGTGGGGCCAAGGTCTTGAACTTTCAACTGGGTGGAAAACCCAGGAAGCTTTCAGATTTGGGTTTTCCACAGCTGTACCAACATGTCTCTCTTATTAAATTGGAACTTTGATGAAAGCTATGCCTTGAACTCTGATTTAATTCTGGATGATATTTGGAAAGCTGACAGCCACGAAGATTCAAAAACTGAAGGGTTTTTTTTAAAAAGGCTTTTACAATCTAAACAGAACGCAGCGAGATTTCCCCTACAGAACAACATTCAACTACAAAACAGGGGAGTTGGTTTAAATAAAGAGGTATAACAGTGTGTCAGGATTATAGCTCTGTTTTTGTCAACAGCTAACCTCAAAGGAGACTGAACAAATTGGAAAAGGATTAGAGAGAATATCTGTTGTAGGTCATATCAGGGGTCCCCAACCCTTGATCCGTGGACTGGCACGGGCCCATGACGTGCCACAAACCCTCTGGTCCACCAAAAAACCTCTCTTCACAGAACTGGTCCCTGGTGCCCAAAAGGTTGTGGGCCACTGGGTTACATGATTTGCATATTATGTATTATGGCATAATGGGGTGGGTTCTGGATTCTTTTACTGCTGGTTTGCTCAGGGACGTGCATCAGGAGCGCGCATGCGCAGTAGTGAAAAAAATTGCTTCCGCCCATGCGCAGAAGCAAAAAACAAGATGGCGGCACCTATGTTGCCGCTGATAGAACCGATCTGGAGGTGTGGGCGGCTAAGTTACTACCTACTCGGCCGAACCGTTAGGAACCCACCTCTGATTATGGCAGGGGTGTCAAACTGGCGGCCCAGGAGCTGGAATTCGTCACGCGCAGGCTATGCCCACCCCAGCTCCACAAAGGGAAATAATGTTGACGGCAGAGTGACGCGGCAAGTTTGACACCCATGTATTACGGGATACAAAATTGGCAAAGCTCTGCACCACGGATCGTCTTCCCTGTTGCTCTGCAAGGGCGCCAATCTCTACCTCGAGAAATGGACCCACGGAAATAACATTAAAGCCTGTATGCATTCTATCGCATCTCGGAAAAAAGTATTGTTGTGTCATAACTTTTGGGCAGGGTTCGAAACCGCAGCCAAGTTCTGGTCCTTACCTTGTGATACTTCTTCCTGGCAATGTAACCTCGCGAGTGCGACTGGAGAGTAATGGTAGCTGCTCGGATGCGCCGATACTGTTTTCGTGCAGCATCCATGCGCTGGAATTTCTGGATGACAATGGCAGCTTTGGTTCTTCGTAAGAACATTGCAAGGCTGAGCAAGGAAATGAGAGGGAAAGAGGAGGGGGGGGAGAGAGAACGGAAATTAATTGTATTGGAATAAATATCTTCCTGCATGGAGTCAAGGGAATTTATTCATCGTCATTTCTCTTTCAAATGTATTCCAACAACTGCCAATTACCTCCACTAGACCGATTAGATCCCACAGATTAGGCCTCCTCTGAATTCCATCCACCGGCCAGTATCGACTGGTGACTACCCGGAGGAGAGCCTTCTCTGTGGCTGCTCCGACCCTCTGGAACGAACTCCCCGTGGAGATTCGAACCCTCACCACCTTCCAGGCCTTCCGCAAAGCCCTTAAAACCTGGCTGTTCCGACAGGCCTGGGGCTAAAGAACCGTTGCCCCCGTCTCAAATGGTATGACTGTTGTGTGTTTTAAATCATGTATTGTTTTGTGTTCGTTTTTAATTTTGTCTGTATCCCGCCTTCCCTGGTTTGAGTTGTGAGCCGCTCTGAGTCCCCTTCAGGGGAAAAGGGCGGCATATAAATAAAATAAACATTCATTCAAACATTCAAACTCCGTAAAGTAGGTTGAACTGAGTCGGCGAGACGATCCAGAGAACTTAGTGGTCCTAAAGTGGGACATTTTCTTGTCTGTATAAAGTTGCAAGGGATCTGGAAGCATCTGTGTTAGTTGTGGTCAACTCTGTACCCCCGGACACTGACAACCAATCCAGAGTAACAGAACAACACACTTGGAAGATTTTGAAGGAGCAAACTTTTGGCGTGAATGCCACAGGTTCACCATCACAAACATACAGTCTGAAACAAATATAACGGAATGTGTGGAAGATCTTCGTGCCTGGTATCCACTTCGATTTCGCAGTGTTGCATTGTTTTAAATGTAAAAATAATAAAAATATATTATAAAAATAGTTCATCTACCCTACATTATGCTCCACCAGGCATTCTACAACTTCTTGCTTTCCAATCAGGCAGCAAAAGAGAACGCTTGTGTCTTATGAATATCCAATTGCATGGGCCTACCTTTCTATATGTAGCCTATAATAATCTTATTTTCAGGGAAACTGAGCAGATAGCAAGGAATTGTTTACACTAGATCAATAATCAAGAAGTAAACAATACCCCAATCAAGGAACTAAGGACTGACACAAACAAGCTAACAATACGCAACAACTTAATCAAGGAAACACCAAAACGCCCACAGACCCTGATAGGGCAAGCCACTAGTATATAAAGAGAGCAAACCCCACTCTCTTCTAGCACTGATGATGTCACCTAGTTTGGTAATGAAACGTCTACAAGAAAACAAGCAAGCTCAGAAAATATCAAGGATCCCACAGTCGTCCTCCTCCCCTCTGCCCCACTCCCTTCCAGCACTGATGATATTACCTAGCTGGGTAATGAAATGTCTACAAGAAAACAAGCGAGCTCAGAGAGCGTGAAGGAGCCCACAGTTCAACCCTGAGTTACATATATTATCTTCCATCAAAACTCTTTACAGCACACTATCCTAAGGAAGATCCGCTTACCATCGTGCCTGGTATCCACGGACATATTTCTGAATGGTGATGGCTGCTTTCCTCATGCGCAGGTACTTCTTCCTCATCAGCCACCCCCTGATAGTCTTTTGGATACGGATGCAAGCTGCTCTCAGTTTATCGGCCCTTATTTTTTCCAAATAAGCTACTTGACCAGCCCGGAAAAATATTTTTGTCTTCCCAAACTGGTACTTATCCTTGTCCTATTTTCGGGAGAAAAAGTATAATCAGTATCGGACTTGACCCACTTTGCAATATAAATAAAAAGACAGCGTGGATTCCATCACAGAAGAATTTTAAAATATCTTACGATGCCATGAAGGTGATATTATGCAGAAGCAGCAGAGTATACATTAAAGGATCAAAATACCTGGATCGTACCGTTGTATTTCTAACACATCAGGGTGATTTCAGATTGTTAAGAATTTCGGACGTTAATTTCAGATTGTTTCAGATTTCAGATTGTTAATTTAGGACGTTAATTATTCACTCTATGTTAGGGAATTCATTCTAAGCACGAGGGGTATTTCCTAAAAATCAGGAGGGTTAAACATATATCCATATACCAAAAGTGTCAAAGTTTAAAAGGAAGATTTAATTAGGAATCTAAATTAATTCGTCTTCTCTATGGGACATCTAAAGGACTTTTCGTCCAATTTAGCCGCTATAGGATGAATGGATTTTCAATCTTACCTGAGACAAGCACCCCTGAATTCAGCGTGTGGAGGGAACTATTTCTGCATAAACATATATATGTTGCTTTGTTAAGTCTCTGATTGTACTTTGATTTCTACACCCAGGGCAAAAGTCAGATTGCACGTGACACATTGGATTTTTCTAATTGGCAGTTCCAATATTTTCCCCAGGAACTGAAAGCAGTTTTTGGGAGATGTGTGATAATGTTGTGGCCAGCCAATGCAGGTGTCAGCAGAGTCGGGGACAGTAAGGAGGTTGGGGAGGAACATTGACCAGTCCTGGAGGCTGGGGAAGGCTCGGACAAGGGCTCTGTGTCAGAGGCAGAGACGAGGATGTCTGGCAGTGATTAGGTGCTTATGGAGCTGGACAGCAGTGAGGCAGAGAAATAGCTGGAGCCTGTTCCCAGTGTACGCATGCGCAGAGCTGCCAGAAGAAAAGAACAATTCAGAAATCAGGGTCGACTTGGGAGCAAAGTCATAGCTGGAAAGAGATTGGCGCCTGCCATAGGACATAAAAGAGGAGTGGGCTTTTGTAGGAAACAATTTGTTCGTTCAGTCGTTAGATTCGTTTCAGGAGTGTGAAGATCTGTCTGTGAATCTCAGAGACTCTGAGCCCAGTCTTTCTTTGCACAGCACCTCACTGGGAAAATATTTACATGGCAGCTTTCCAAGATAGATAAGATCTGTGGTCATAAATATTCCTTTGAAAGTCAGTTTGCCAGGCCTTGCTCAATGTGAATGAGAGGAATTCACATTCGTTTAATGAAAGCGGTTTTCTCGGGATTTTTGCCTTGTGCTTTTTGGAGAAGCCCAGGTCAGAACAGATAATCCATTTGCATCAAGATGAAGGAGTCTTCATACAATGCTATTTTCCTGATTAAAAAAAAATCCTCTGCTTCCTGTTCTATTCTTCTTCTTAAGAGGCATGTTGATAAACTAAAACGCTATTTGGATTATGGGTCACCAAGTCAGTATCAACAAAATATCAACAAGAGTGGCTATATATATGGATGGAGGGGTGGAGGGATGGACCTTCAGACAGACAGATGATCGATAAATAGATAGATAGATAGATAGATAGATAGATAGATAGATAGATAGATNTGGATTCTGCTCCCATCATTCTTAGCCCATCATTGTCAATGACTAATGGAGGATAAAACTGAACTTTCCTATAGTACAGCAAAGTTTGGGAAGATTGCTTTAAAAAAGTAAATTGCTACAGCAAACTTTTGTTAACACTTTTGGGGAATGAAACTGAAATCTATCTGCTATCAAATTCTCCTGTCTTTTTGTCTGTTTATAACCTTTAATGAGCCCAAACAGTGAACCATAGCTTGGACATTTTTGAAACAAAATATCTCAAATCCTCTAAATTAAATAACGTGAACAAAACCCAGGACCCATTCCCATAAAATTGAAATGTCAAGGATCTTCATACAATACATAATTGTATTCACAAAATTGTAGCTACTGCAATATCACTGTGGTCTTCTGCAGTTTATGAGATCATGATTTCTGATGTTCCTGCCAGCTTCTGAAAAACAAAGTCAATGGGGAAGTCAAAGTTTGCTCCTCTCCCCACTGCTTTTTTGCCTGCCCAATGCTCAGGGTCATTCAATTTCTCAGTTTTGGTAAGGAAGTATCTCTGAAAAGATCATTCAATGGGTTGTCTAGCTGAAATCAAATGCTTGCTGAACAAAGAAAACATTTTTTCCACATTCCACTTACAGTACTATAATTAATCCGTGGAATTCGCTAGTGATAATTGTGGTAATGAAAGCTGATTTGAGTGGTTTTAAAATGGCACTAGACAGATTCCTACAAGGCCAGGATTAGAGGTTACTAAGTGTTTACATAGACTGGATGAACTAATGGTTTTATCCAGGAAGGCTCTTATAAGTTTGTGGGCAACTGCACTAGGGCCCATGATTATTGATATTGCAGAATGCAAATTGTTGAGAGTGTAGTCTCAATTTGCATAAGATCACGAGTAAAATTTATTAAATTTTCTGGAATTTTGTGCATCAGTAGCAGAGCTTTTCTGCCTATGTCTAATGATACAACACAGAAGAAATGATGCTGAAAAAACCAAGTCTTAAATATTTACTAGCACATCATTGGGTTTGTATGTTCCTAAATGATTAACTCACTTTTTGAAATTAAATAGAATAGAATATACATACATACATACATACATACATACATATATATATACACACACAGTATATTATATGTATCACAAGTATGATGTAGCTTCCATAATATAAACCAACTTGGATGTTAATGTCTTTCTGTAAAATGTATATTTATAGTTTTTGGCAGTGCTGATATGACACAGACTTTTCAATATGCACTGTCAGCATGGTACTAATGTTCCAAATTAGCAGCACAATTCCTGGGAAACCTGCTCTCCTAGTGCTTTGCGTTTTGGTTGCTCTCCTGGGAGGTTAGCTAGAATAGGGAGGGAACAGAATGGAAATTGAATTTATATTTACATTGCATTGGACAACAGTGATTTCAACATATTTTTAGGTAATGATGCATAGTAACTCTGCACTGTTGATTTATGTGCAAGAAAGAGAAAACTAATTTTGGCAAAGGATGGGTGGAAATGTCCTTAAATATAATAATTAGATAGTGGCATGAATAATTTGATTGAACTGTTAGTGAACTCTTGAAATTTAAGCAATAATTTAAGCAAGGTCTAGGAGATAACTGAAAATCAAAGAAAGTAAGAAAGGGGAGAGAGGCTGATAGTAGCAATAGTATTTTGACTTATATACCACTTCACAGTGCTTTACAGCCCTCTCTAAGCAATTTACACCGTCAGCATGTTGCTCCCACAATCTTGGTCCTCATTTTACCAACCTCAGAAGGATGGAAGGCTAAGTCAACCTTGAGCCAGTAAGGATTGAATTAGTGGCAGTGAGTTGAATTAGCCTCCAATACTGCATTCTAACCACTATGCCACCACGGCTCCTAGTATGTGTTATG